TGTGCGCGAGCGCGCACTCGTGTTTGTGTGTGAGTGTGTGTTTGTGTGTACATATGTGTGCGTATGTGTACGTGTGTGTGTGTGTGTGAATGGGTGTGCGTGTGTGCATGTGTGCACTGTTGTGTTTGTGTGTGTGCGTGCGTGTGCGGCAGTGTGCGTGTGTGAGTGTGTTTATGCGTTTCTGCGTGTGTGGCAGTGTGCGTGTGTGAGTGAGTTTATGCGTTTGTGCGTGTGCGCATGTGTGCATGTATGCGCGCGCGCTTGCGTGTTTGTGTGTGTGTGTGTTTACCATAAACCAGTTAACATGTTTTCTACATCTTCATAATCAAGATTTTAAAGGACGCGTTTACAAAATTGATAGGTATAGAATCGAACTATCGACCTTACCTCCGGTCTTGATGGAGTGACCTCAAAATGTAATCCGGGATTACTAGTGGAACTCCTGGACTAGTAGAATTGGGTGTGCTGAGTTTGGGCTCGTTTTGTTAGTTATGATGAGTCCTTACCTCCGGACTGGCTGAAGTGACCTGAAGGTGTACTTCGGTTGTAGTAGTAGTATGTACTTTTGTACACACACACACACACAAGTGTAATAATAATCCTATATAATCAAATTTATTAATACAGTAAAGAGAGTCTTATATCATCATTCGTTTGTTTAACTCCTCTCCTAACATTCGCCCTACATGGCGACCCTGCCGAAGTAATTCGCGACGCGAATATAACACCCTCCGCCGTATTTGGAGTGGAATATTTTTTCTTTGTGCAACTGATGAACTAAATCAAGCTGTGGCGTTCTATCTTGAGCTGCGCGACTGTGTTCACGTGTTTAACAAAAAGTTAACGAAAAATAACATACAAGATGGGCGGTAAACAGACTAAAGAAGAGACCGTAATTGTGCAAAACGCAGTGGGAAGCAATAAGGCAGGAGTTGAACAATTACAATTTCACCTGACTATGAGTAACGTTTTGCTGTCCATCGTTGTGCTGGTACTTCTACTGGGGTCCCTATATTGCTTGTATCGGACATATAGGCGATGTCATATAAAGTGGATTAACACAGAGATAAACAGAAATACCCTAAGAAGGTCTATTTTTCGGCAACCACAACCCCCCACAAATATGGAAGAGAAATATGAAAGAGTCAACCAAGGGCGTATTATAAAGTATGACCGGCGCTGATCAGTGTTTCAAAATGGCGTCTAAGTGCGTATAAAATGAGTAAAAAAGTGCGTGTCTATTAATAGTGCAAAAATAAGGGTATTGTGTTTATAAATCAACGACGTAAATCTAGGACTCTAGCCTATATTACTGAACTTTATATTTTAAATTAAATCATGTATTCGTTGTACTGTCTTTAATCGTCATTGAACCGTATTATTATTATTTATTTTTATTAAATATTTCGTAAAATTATTTATAGTATACTCTATTCTACGTATTGGTGGTAAGTTATGAATATTTCTTTAGAACAGTTATATGAGAAATTAAAAGAAGTGAGAACATATTTAATTAAAATTGGATCGAGTAGACGTGAAGGAAAAGTTTTAGATACTAAACTTAAAGAGGCCAATGAAATATTTAGTGACTATTCTAAGTTGTTAATAAATTTTAATAGTAAAGTAAAGGAAAGTAAGATTAAATCTACTGATATTCCATCTTATCAAACCTATTGTAAGAATTTTGAATCATATCAGGATATTATAAAATTGTGTAAGCCCGAGTGTGTACTTTTATATACTCTTACTACTACTACTACTACACGGTAACTAACACTAACACCTGGACTAGTAGAACTAGGTATGCCGAGTTTGGGTTTGTTTTGTTAGTTATGTTGAAACCGTCACAAAACAAAAGTTCTGTTCACTTTGTCTCTAGTACCAATAGGTATCCAAGCTGATATTCGGAAAAATGAATGACCTCGTAGTAACATCTTTAGGGGCAGTATCGATATCCACTTACCAGCTACACTGTTTTTCGCTGTAACCAACTGTCCTTTATATAAGCCTCACTTGCCCTCACGCGGTACCCACTTTACCGCACTCTAGTACACCCACCACCACCTCTGCCACATATGCCTCCACATCTACCACCGCACCCCTCTCTAAGCCTTCGTTCTCCACTTCCGCTACCTCCGCCTCCACCATAAACTCTGCTCCATCCGCCTCAACAATAAACTCCGCTCCCTCCGCCGCCACCACCACGCGCCGTCACTATTCTTTCCGCCTCCAACACAATTCCCCGTTTCCACTATCTCCGACTTCACCACAAATTCCTCTCCTCCGCTTTCACCACATACTACGCTTCCTTCACCTCCGCCTCCACCACGTCTCCATTCTCCGCATCCGTTTTCTGGGCGCACACACACACACACCCACACACACATACACACACAAACACGCGCTCAGACGAACACACACCCATGCATACACACCCGCACGCACGCACACGCACGCGCATACACACACGCCCGCTCTCGCGCACTCACATACATACAGACACACACACAAGCACACCTAAACACACACACACACACACACACACACACACACACACACACACATACAAACACGCGCGCGCGCGACATATATATACGCGCGCGCTCGCACACACACACTCCCGCACATACACTCACACACCCGCGCGCGCACATACGGACACACATACACGCACAAGCACATACATATACACACACACACACACACACACACACACACATACACACACACACACAAACACAAAACAATAGTGGACACACGCACGCACACACTCACACACTCCTACCCACACACAAAAGCAAACACACGCACAACCGCACACACACACAAGAACAACAGTTAACACACGCACTCACACACACATAAACGCGCGCGCACGCGCACGCGCGCACACATACTAACACACACACACGTACTAAAAAACACAACAGTGCACACACGCACACATACACTCACGCACATGCGCACGCACATGCGTTCACATGAACATACATGAACGCACATACACCCACACGCAGGCGCACACACACTCGCATAAAACACACACACACACACACACACACACACACACACACACACACAACTCGAGTGACAAATTAATTTGTAATAAAGTACTATCCATCAAATTCTAATTTATCTATGACAAATGAATAAAATAACACAAATTCACTCACATGATAACAAAAACTCGAACAAACGTCTTTCTACAATAAAACCTGCCAAAGTTTGATCCACAAAATCAGCAGATAACGTATTTTCTTACCTTATTACTATATCGAAGTAGCCCACTGGGTTCTCTGTCACATACAGAACGCGACGTTGCCGCTTCGTGTTCGAATACTTATTCGTCAATTATAGCTCCGGATCCACTTAGTCTAAGTAAATGTCGCATGTAAATTAAATATACTCTGGATCTAAAAACTCATATTCAGTATGATTTTTTCGACCGTTGATAGATCAACAAATGTTGGTCAAATCGCTGACGAGTATATTGAAATCCTGTTAGTGCAGATCCACGGACGTCACACGAGCATCAAGAATGGATCAAAGTATATCAGTTTGGGCGACGAGGAGCTGAGCAAACACGTCAAATAGGTGGATCAACAATTGTTCTAACTTCTCACTGGATCAACATTTACCGTGAAAGGATGATTATATATATATATATATATATATATATATATATATATATATATATATATATATATATATATATATATATATATATATATATATATATATATATATAGGAATGGAACGTAAGGGAATGGAGTGAAACGGAACGTAAGTGTGTGAGAAGGAGGACGTGAGGTGCGAGAGGGAGAGGGGAGAAGGTTTTTTTTGGAACGAGGAACGGAAGCGTGCGTGACTCAAGTGCATTAATTAATTAAAAAGGTGTTAAACAGTGAAAATAAAACAAACTATTCATTATTCTCGATTTTTATTAAGAGGTCTTCCAAAATCTCACGTAATTTTGGTGTCAGAAGAGTGATAGCCTCCAAATAATCGAGTTTCAAGTTACGACGGCACGAGGTCACGGCGCGCAGCGGTACCGCCGCAAGGCGGCGACGGTGCAGCACATTAATATAAGAAGGTGATTCTCCGATGGGAGAAAATAACGACGTTAACGAAGTTAAGAAGACTACAGCTCAAGACGCACTGCAAGAAAAGGCTGTAAAAGATTCACAAGACGTAAAAATGGCGGCGGAAGGCTTTTCAAGCATATTGGACAGCATCGCGAAGTTAAGCGGTGATGACAAGACTTATTCGTCAAGTGGTAAAAAGTTTTAGCTGGACAAATCATCGGCTGAACTGTGGCTACGATTAGAAAAAGTTTTTAAGACGTTCGAAGAGCTCAAAACAGCACTGCAGAAAGAATTCCCTGACTCACTTAACGCAAAAGAGATGCACGAGTTAATGGCGTCGCGCAAGAAACAGCGGGACGGAACTTGTTATCAGTTTATGCTGATTATGAAGGAACTGGGAAAGAGCTAAATTCCCAGACTACGTCTCGATCCAGTACATCGTGGACGGCATAGTAGATCAAGAAGTAAACAAGATGATGTTTTATGGAATTACATCATATTCAGTGTCAAAAGAAAAACTCGTTTGTTATGAAAAAATGAAGACGAAGATCGTTCCTGGAAAACAAAGAAAGTCATCCATATCATATGAAGGGTCCACTGCAATAATGATGAATGTCCAAAGTTTTTGTAATTATAAGTAAGTAGGTTATTCGGACACTTGATATATGCAGTTAATAATCTCGTTTACAGACTCGGCAATATCGCTTACAGTCGCTAGATAAATACGTTTTAAATAATTGTATACACGGCTAGAACGCTCAGCGTCACACGTGTTCACGGCAATAATGATAAATGTCCACGGCCTCGCAATGCCCGCCATCTTGTAAATTGTTTTGTCAGATGTGTCAGTCTCGATACGTCTGGCGTTGTGTTAGGTTATGTTTAACGTATTCAAGTAATTTCTTTCTTAAAATTATGGCTGAACGCAACGAAACAACTATAAATACGAAGAAAAGAAAACGCACAGGCAGAATGAGTGATGTATTAAAGAAACTTCGACTTCAGAATCACGAACTTGGTGATGACTGCAAATGTGATCGTTTTAAATGTTTTGAAATGACAAGTAAGGACCAGAGGACAAGAATAATAAGTCAATTTAATAGTTTCGCCACCAGGTATGACCAAGATAATTATTTAAGCGGGCTTATAACCGTATCTAATGTAAAACGTCGTCGTCCGCGATTAGGTGAAGAAAATGCGAAATTACACAATAAATCATATTCATACAAGATTCGTATGATTGCCGATGATACTTACGAGATAGATACCAGTGTGTAGAAAAGCGTTTTTATCCTTACATGGTATCACTGGAAGAAGACTGCAGTTTATTCAGAAATCACTGACGGAGCATGGTGTTGTCCAAAAAGATAAACGGGGTACACATGTGAAAACACAGCTTCCTAAAGAAACTACTGATTTAATGTACAAGCAAATCGACACTCTAAAATCAGTTAATGGTAAAAAAGGCCACTACAATTTACATGAGAGTAAAAAAATATATCTGTCGGACGAGTTAAACTTGTCTAAGATTCACAAAATGTTTAATGAAAATCATCCAAATAACAAAGTATCATACGAAACATATCGTAATTTTTTCAATAAAAATTTTAACATATCATTCGGTTACCCAAGGATGGACACATGTTCGATTTGCGATGAATTTCAAGCAGAGAAAAAACACTTTGAAATTAAAATTGCTTCTCTTTCTGATGGTCATGAAAAATCTCAGATTTTGTCTCAACTTAGAAAGCTGGAAATTGAGAACCTAGCACATAAAAAGAGAGCTGAAGTATTTTATGATAAAAAGAGAAAAGCTCGTTTGAGGGCTAGGCAGGATGCCACAACAATCGCGATAGCAATGGATTTCTCAAAAAATCTTCCTGTGCCAAACATAACTACCAACGACGTTTATTATAAAAGGCAGCTTAGTTACTTTATGTTTAATGTTCATGTCCTTGCTGATTCCTCATCTTATTTCTATGCATACGATGAGAGTATTGGAAAAAAAGGATCGGACGATGTGGCTTCTCATCTCTTTCATTTTATATGCCACGAAATGGATAAGCAGGGCAAGACTCTTACAATTTTCTGTGACTCATGTGGCGGTCAAAATAAAAATTACACCATTTTTAGAATGTTACACTACATGGTTCACTGTTGCAATCGCTTAGAATCTGTCACAGTAATATTTCCGATTAGGGGTCACTCCTATATGGAATGCGACCGAAACATGGCCTTTATAAATCAAAAGGCTAGGGCTGAACTCCCTGAACAATGGGCTGAACACGTACGTGGAGCTCGACAGAGACCAAAACCTTTCAATGTCATTGAATGTTCACAAGATGCATTTAAGGGCTGGACTGCATTTCTAAAACCGTTTTACAAAAAAGCTTGTCCATTTCCCATAAGACCTGTACGTGAATTCAGAGTCCAAAAAGAACATCCACGGCTCATGTTTCACAGGAATTTTAGTAATAGTCAATGGGAATCAAGTGTGGTTAACACACCAGCTTCTTTTCGATATACAAAGGTAGGTATTCATGAGGGGGAATTTAAATTACCTGATTTAGCTTATCAAGACAAGCTGACTATATCAACAGCGAAATATAACGACTTGCAGTTCCTGAAAAAGTTCTGTAGGCCTGAAGCAAAACGTTATTACAATGAACTTCGTCATGCTGTAAATATAAAAGAACCAGAAGATAACTAAACCGTCTTTGGACAACTATCATTATTGACTGTGAACGCAGAGTGGACAGTGATCATTATAGTCCTGATTTTTGAAGACTTACTTAAGATAATATGATTTTTATTTAGTTTATAATACCCATATAATGATTATTTGCCAAAGTAATAATATTATAAAACCTATCCTTTAACTAAAATTAAAATTATTTTCTTATCTTTAAATCTGAGTTTTTTTCACCGTTTATAAAATTAAAACCTAATTATTTCAAAACAAAGAAAAAAGGACATTCATCATTATTGCAGTGGACCCTTCATATCCATCGACTTCATCGTCGGGTTCAGTAAGTCGGCAGCAACCTAATAATAATAAAAGATGTTATAAGTGCGGCGATCCAAGTCATATTTTAACAGCGTGTACGAATGGAAAGAAATGCTTCCGGTGTAATAAGTTCGGCCATATTGGTACACAGTGCCCGAACGTGCAGAGCAGCGGCGTTGCAAACATGGGCGAATCGTCGGGTAAGCAGTTTCGCGGGTATCGCGTAAGCGGCCCGGTGGAGAAAGGGAGTCAGCATCAGCCGCAAGTACTACCAAAAATATCATTTGTTTGAACAATTATCTTTTTTGAAAAAATTGCACCTTCCGAGACACAGTCCAGTATTGCGACAAATAGTGAAACTCAGAATCAAGAAGAACCATCTGAACAACCACGCGAAGAATCTCCTAATGTACAGCAAACTTCAGTACAAATCAATCAACCGAGTACTTCAAGCACATCGCGTCGCAAACGCAAACCAGATGAGTTTGAAACAGAAGTTTTGAACATTTAAAAAAAAGAACAGGATAATAGACATTTATCTTTTTTAATAGTCTTTTGCCAAGTCTCGAAAAATTTAATGATCAACAAGTATTGAAGTTTCAGAGTAGAGTTCTACAAATTGTAACAGAAATTCAGTACCCTACATCAGTATGGCAAGACACATCTAATTACGGCTATCAGACTGGATACAATATATCGACATACGATAGTTATCAGAGCACGCCTTCTACTAGTTCTCTATCACCACTTCACCAATGTCCGACGAATCATTACCCAATTTTAATTAATATTAGCCTTTGTACTACTTATACTGTGTGCCTTACTGTGAAATATATAAATCATAATTTCATAATATATCTACATTTTTTTTACTTACGTTATTGTCACCATTAAAATTTCCGAAGGTCAAATACATTCCCTCATTTTCGTATCATTTTTCTGCAAATCGTTGTGGACGAGTTCTAATATTTGGTCGAATGTATTAATATACGGAAATAATTACGGAATTTCTTAGGATTTCTTCTCAAGTTCTCATAATCACAATTAAACTTTCCGTTACTTTTCCTGGAAGATATAAAGGGATCGATCCAAATAGTTTTTGTTTTTCTCCTTTTGCGACGACGACGCAGAACACAAAGAAGCATCGCAATTACCACGGTACTGTCCATTCTGTCCGACTGATCGAGCGAGACTGGTCTATAATCGCAATGCGTAGGCCTCCTGCGTCACCGCGGCGGCGAAAAACGCTACCACCGCGGCATAATGTGTAACTCCCTGACAAAGAAAATTTATGTTGCAGAAGTGAATGGCAGAGTCTGAAAGAGACGTCCTAGGCGAAAATTTATTGACCAAATTGGCGATTTATTGAAAACGGGCCAAATTAGGAGTACCCTTAACCGACGAGCATGTACGCGTAGGTAAATGGATGTGAAGGAGCCGAAAGAGGTGTGTCAGGATCGTGCCAAATGGAAGTCTGTAGTCTCTGCCTCTGGGTGACAAGCGTGAGTGTTTATTTATATGTATGTACTATACCTAACTTTTTTTAGGTGAAGATAGAACTGTTTAGGTAGTAGGTAATTATTATTGCAATCAGGCAGATTAGGCACAAAAATAATAAAACTCTATTAACTACATTTTATATTTCTTTATTGATTTTCGCAAGTCAAACTTCCCTTTTCGGAACTAAATTAATCACAAAACTTGTCTCGAATAACAAATGCTGCTCGAGTGGAATTATAACGAATACCTTCAAATGATATAAAGTTATCTTGTAAACCATTTGGTAGATCTTGCAAAAAGATTTAGTTGTCTTAGTCGTTCCGTAGCATGTTGTGTAAACTGCAACAGCGTAAAATGATGTTATCGACAATTTCTGGTTGCACTTTAATATCTGTATGAAATATCCGCCATTTTGCTGCCAAAATGCGAAATGAGTTTTCGGCTGTCCTCCTTGCATGTGATAATCAATCATTGAAATTCTTTTTATTTGCGTTATTAGAAACAGCTTATTTAGGTCTCAATAAATATGGTTTTAATTGAAACGCTTGGGCTCACCACCATTTTGCAATGGTGTATCTGCTGGAATATCTGTAGTGTTAGTCGCCAATGAAAATCCCAATTCTGACACAGCAAATACACCACCGTCACTGTTACATCCGAAGGCCCCAACATCAACTGCAATGAATTTGTAAATAGCGTCAACTAATGCTAAAAGAACGACAAAATGTTGGCCTTTGTAATTATAGAATGACGTTCCCGCATTATTTGGGCAAAACAGCATAACATGCTTCCCACACAATTAGGAAACTGCCATTTGTCACTGTACGTTTTCGCAATTTGTTTCCACTTTTCTTTAGTCGGTTTTGGCATAAAAATATTTTTTAGATTTTTCCAAATGGCAATAGTTACATCCAGAACGATAGCTTTTACTGTGCCGAATCCCATTCCGTATCTACTCTTAAATCCTAACGATCTAAATGATTTTCCTGTGGTTATAAACCTGCAAATTAAAGACTATTATTTGTTTGTATGTATTTAAACTTTCTCATGTAAGTGAATTGTTGTAAATTCTTATGAGAAATAAAGATATCTCAAACCTCAAATAAAAGTAGTACGATTATGTTTAAGCGCGAAAAGGTACACAGACATTGTTACTTTTACATTTATAATATTAGTACGGATAAACCTATTCTCTTTAACTAAGATAATAATTTGTCTTCTTTTCTTTTTATCTTTGATATGCAAAGCAAAATGGAACTTGTTACGAAATGCATTCGTACGTATGATGTAAGCAGATGAAAAACAGTGACAGTAAAAAACTTGAAAAAGTGGACATTTGAAGAGGAGATGTCATTTTTATTACCTTTTATGACGCATAGGCACACTATATCTAATATCGTTGAGAGCGAAGAAAATTAAAATTCAGGTATAATAAATGAAGAATCGAACAAAAATAACACATAGCAGAGACAATGGAAAAATAACGATAATTATCAGGAAAAGATTTTAAATATATATGATGAAAGCAAGAAGTCAGAGACATGGTGATTTGGTTAACTCATCCAAATGCAAAGCAATGGTTATAGGTAGTAGCAGGATGTTAGCTGAGATTAATGACGATAATCTTGCTCCCGTATTTTACAATGAAACGTTGCTGCCATTTTGTAAGTCTGTCAAAAATCTTGGCTTACATATAGACCATACCTTAAGCTGGGGAGTTCAAGTTGTCGAAACAAGCCATTAGCCAAGTTACTGCCACCTTACTTTCTCTTTGTCGTCTCAAAAACTTTCTGCCTTTTAATACTAAACTTCTGTTAATCCAGACATTGATATTACCCATTATTAATTGTGCGGATGTGTGTTACCCACATCTATCTCAATATCTTCTCGATAAGTTGGAGCGCCTCCTCAACAATTGCATTAGGTTCATTTTCGGCTTAAGTATAGTATGACCATGTTTCTGAGTACCGATCTACAATTAAATGGCTCTCTATTCGTCAAAGGCTCTCAAACCAAACTTTGCAAGTACTATATTCAATTCAAAATAACCCAAATTCTCCTTCTTATTTTAAGGATAACTTTTAGTACTTGTATTCTATTCACGATAGAGTTCCCCGTTCCTTAATTAGTCTTAAAATTTGTATTCCACCACATAGGATTGGTTTCTTTAATTCCTCTTTTACTGCGCGATCCATATAGCTCTGGAACGCCTTCGCTGTTGATGTCAAGAAAACTACTAACAAGAATTCTTTTAAAAGACTAGTTCGAGAATTATATCGTAAAAATAATACCACTTGGCTTATCCGACTATTGTTTTTTCACTTTTTCACTTTATAAGTGATATTTAGTATAATGTATTTTTAATAACAAAATACATATTGTATTGTGTTATTTTATTTTTGTCTCATAATATTTAATTTACTTATAGATTTTGTATTAAGAACACGTTTATATATTTACGAGTATTATCTATCCGATATTATATATTAGATATTAAGTAAGTATGTATATTTTTACTAACTATATCTATTCTATTCATTTGCATTTTTTGTCTTATATCTTTATTTCTTATATATTAACCCTTTAATTCGTAAAGTTGAGAATACTCAACATTCGAAATAAATAAATCCTGTATGAAAACTTGAACGCGTAGAAAAAATATTTTTACTTTGAAAAAAAGGTGAAACGAAACGCAACTCGTAAAAAGAAAGTTGTGTGTCACAAACGTCAGATTTTGACAGTGGCGGCAAAATGGCATCACGTTCATCTGCACCGTTTGGACCTAAGGTAAATAAAATTTATTATTAGCAATTTAAATCATATTGATACCTATTATTGCCTTGCATTTCAATTTTAAATTATTATTTTATGCACGTAATGAAAAAAAGCCTGAAAATATTGTGGTTTAGTATGTGTTTGATGGTTTTCAAGTTGAATGTTGAATATACTCAACAATGCGAATGTTACTATTATTCACCTGATTTTTTCTATGTTGAGTATTTTCAACATTGCGAAATGCTTTAGGTTTTGTCCTATAACTTAACATGATGAGTATATTCAACATTGCGCGTGTACTAACATTTATTCCCCTCTTATCTGAGACCCTATTATTGTTCATTTTTCGCTTTGGTTTTGGATGCCCTACGTTTTTTGTGTTATTTTGCTTCAGAAAATGCTTAAATGGCAACGCACGCAAAAAATTATGGCGCTTGTACCTCCCGCAAAAGCACCCTCCGATGACAGCAGCACATCTGAAGATGAAGTTATAATCAATAATTACACAAAACCGAAAAAACAACAATCATCTGACTCAGAACACAACTACGAATCATCTGAACCACGTTCTTATCCCTCTGAAATTGATGACTTAAGCTTAGATTCACATTCCGAAGATGAGATTCCTGCGACGCCATCACCTAGGCCACTACAGCTACAAAATGAAAGCAAATCATACTTACCCAATTCCAAAGAAAATTCTCGTCCGACGACGCCTCCATCGCCAACTCCGCCTCAACAAAATGATTGCAACATACCTGAAGTACCATGTTCTGAAGTCCAAACTCCGATTTCGTCTGCGTCGATGCCACAAGATATAATGAATGATTCCATACTCCACATACCAACAATTCCCTTGTCTCCTTTAATTAACCAAATGTTTTCACCAGGCCCGTCAAATCAGCCGCTCCCATTCACACTGAATTCGGTCTCATCAGTATTATCACCTAACATGTCTCCAGCAGCACCTAATACACGTTCAAAGCGACGACAGAACACAAAACCTAAACACCCAGCGGCAAAAAAAGTAAAGAAGTTTGTAAGAAAACCTCTATCATTCAAATTCAGAGCAGGAAAACTACAGTACGCAGCTATATTTGAACCACCGAAACACGATTTCTCACCCGATCCACATCATTCAATCTTAGATTATTTCACTGACTTTTTTTCAAATGACATATTCGAATTAATAGTAGAACAGACAAACTTATATTCAGTTCAAACCGATTCGAGATCTATAAATATAATAAACGATGATGTGAAAGATTTCATAGCGATTACACTCATTATGGGGGTAGTAAAAATGCCCTCTTACAGAGATTATTGGAGTCGATTTTTGCGATATCCAGCTGTCGCTGATATCATGCCTTTAAAAAAAGTATGAGAAAATAAGGAAATATTTACATTTCGCCGACAACAGCAACATTAACGACGACCGTTACTACAAAGTTCGACCAATTATTGAAAAAATTAGGCTTAATTGCTTAAAAATGAAGGAGGAACAACGCTACAGCGTCGACGAAATGATGGTCCCATACAAAGGGACAAGAGCGGGAAGTAGGCGCCAATATCTACCTAAAAAACCAAAAAAATGGGGGATGAAGTTATTCGTTCGAGCAGGCGTCTCTGGTTTAGTGTATGATTTCATTCCTTATGGTGGAGAAGACACGTTTAGAAATCATTCTTTTACTGAATACGAGGAGAGCCTCGGTCTTGGAGCAAAAGCTGTGCTAGCACTTTGCAAGACCATTGAGGATAAACCTGCAGTCGTATATTTTGACAATTTCTTTACGTCATTGGAGCTAATTCACCATTTGCGTCAAGAATACGGTATTTTTAGTCTTGGTACCATAAAAAGTAATCGTTTGAGAGGTTGTCAAAATAAACTACTAGCAGATAAAGTTCTCGCAAAAAAAGGACGGGGTGCAAGCTCCCAGATCGTCTGCAATGACACGAAACTTGCTGTTGTCAGATGGTATGACAATAAGCCGGTGACATTGGCTAGTTCATTCGTCGATTCCCATCCAATGGGAAAGATTCAAAGGTATTCCAAAGATACAGAATCTAGGGTGGAGGTCAATTGTCCTCAGATTGTGAAGCAATATAATGCCCATATGGGGGGCGTAGACTTGGCGGACATGCTTATCGCTCTATACCGTTCAAACTTTAAAACTAAGAGGTGGTACATGACCATGTTTTCACAATCTCTGGATATTTGCGTCAACAATGCTTGGTTATTACATAGGAGAGATCATGCTGATCCTAAAGACCGTTTACCTCTCAAAAAATTTCGGATACAGATAGTATCTGAGCTTTTACATAAAAACAGAACGAGGGTGACAGTGAGTCAGGAAAACGATCCTCCTAAAAAAATAATTACTCCAGCTGCTCCAAGACCGACTGATGCTGTACGATATGACAACAATGGACATTTACCCATGTTTGTGTCGTATGGACGGTGCAAATACTGTAAAAATGGGTACACAAATATTACTTACTCAAAATGTATCCTCAGGCTGTGTCTAGTTAGTAAGAGAAACTGTTTTTATAATTACCATGTTAAGTAATAATATGTGAATTTGATTTTTTCTACTAAGGCTGTGTCTAGCCAACTTATTCTATGATTAATTAATAAGAAATAAAACTTTATTTGATTTTCTCTATAGTTTGTTCTTTTATTTTAATATATTAGTAAACTACCTTTACAAGGGCAATGTTGAAAATACTCAACGCTCAATTTATTAGGTAATGTTCCAATATGTCGCGCAATGTTGAGTATTTTTAACATACGATATTTGATAAAGTATACAATAATAATAATAATTTCTATTTTTTTGGCTATAATTAGTCAACATTAATGCAATTAAACAGAAAAAAACATGTTTACATAACTTTTATTTTTCTGCGCATTAAAGGGTTAAATATATGAAGTGATTGTTTACACCTGCCACGGTTTCTTTAATCATTCAGGGTTGACTGGCAGAGGATGCCATAGGGCATTAAGTCCGTCCTTTATATCTCTTACTATAAGGTGTATAATAAAGATTAAATATATAAAATTAGATAAATCCGAAAAAGATGACATTGACTTATTCTTTGAAACAATGGCTTAAAACAGTGATGAAGTTCCCTAGAATAGAGCAAGCTAAATTAAAATTCGATATAATGAAACTGGTCCAAGAAAAATAAATGAGGTTGCTGGATTATCCGACAGAATATCCTACTTCTTCAAGTAGTATGTCAGAAATATCAACACCAATCACAATGACAATCTGCCTCGTCTTCATCTGTACAGCCATCTTCACCAACGCCGAGTAGCAATAAATCACTTCCCACGCAACAGTTTTTCTTGCCTCTGTCCTCTAAAATAATCCAGACATCTACTTCACAAATGCTGTCCATAAAATTCAAATATCAATCATTACTGCAGGCAACGCAAAATTTTGTTATTGAGCTTTCCATGCCATCTTCAAGAGAATTATATGAATTAAGCGAGACAGCATCCATAATGCATGCAGCATCCAAAACCATGATTTATAAATAGCATTTATAAATCATGGTTTTTTATTGGTTGGTTGGCAAAAAATTGTTTCCAAACAAGGGAGGGACTCCATTGAAGACCACCCCCGACCTGGACGGCCGATTGGGGCTACCACGCCAGAAATAATCTAAAAAGTTAAAAAAATTGTATAAGAAGATGCCCGGCTACAGAAAAACCAACTTGCAGCATTAGTTGGAGTATTAGAAACAAATTAATTTTATTTTTAAGCTACAGAATTCAAAACAGAGTGGAACCTTCTTCGCAAGGCGTTCATTCATGCTATGTCTAGGAGCAAAACAGTAACCGGCGAAAGAGTTTAGAATTTTAAAAAATAGAAATTAGTAGACGAAATGGTTTTTTTGTTACCATATATGGCAAATAGAAACACCATTGCAGTACATGTTGTAGAATTCTCGCATAAGACTACTGAATCGCATCGTGAAGAGATAGTCGAAGAATCTCTTTGTTTAGGCCTAATTTTAACGTTTTGCAACCTGCGTCGGCGCGCGTTTTCGAGCGGGAAACCCGCCTGACGGCGGAGCCGGGGCGGAGGGGGGGGTGCGGACAGGTGCGGCAGACGGCCGCGCCAGCGAGTACAATTCTTCTTGGTTAGCTAGCAGTGGAGCTGTGTAGTCGCGCGTTTGTTAAAATAATTGCCGCTACTTCGCGAACCTTACGTTTTTTGCTACGTTGTCCTGTGATATAGTACTTTGACCAGCAGTCCGTGTGTTGTATCGCGTGTTTCGGTTAAATATTGTTGAATTTGATTGAAAAAAAGATAATTGACTTGACTATAAATAATAAGTGATAAACGAGCATAATTTCCTAGACTCTGAAGTGTTTTCTGTGACTGCTTGCCCCTTCGATGTGTCCCATATTAGAATAGAGGTGAAGCCTTTGGATCTGCTGTTCTGCAACCAGCGGGGAAGTCAGGTTACATAATATAACACGTACTGAGCATAACACAATCACACACATACTATTACACCTGAATCTTCCTATGGTTAACCCTACATCGACGGAAAAAGGTAAGTTTTGTTCTCTTCCTTGTTAGCCGATATATCTTAATATTCCACAGGTCGTTTGACCCTCCCCTAGTCTACTCGTCGAGTGGAATTCCTGATGGGCCCGAGTTCCGAACGGCTATTGTCAGGGTTGCCTGGGGCAGTAACATATTGTTGCATGAATAAGTCAACTAGCGCCATCTAGTGTCAGGAACGAGAGCGAGGGGAGCATTGAGAAAATGACATCACAAATCGCTCAACTGACAGCGCCTAGTCGAAACTCGAACGCTCGGTATTTTCCGCGTGTTTACTTGAACATTCTGGATATTTCTTTGCTAATTTAAATATATAGGCGCTGCAAGATGCGATGAGAGTAGTGTTGAGTTGGGCGAAACAAGCGAAGCTTCGGAACGAAATTAAGTGAATTAGTGTGTTTACTTATTAGTGTTTTTAACTTTAATTTGTTTAAAGTAAATTAAAGTGTTAATTTAGGTAATTTTATCGGCAATTTTTATTGTCACGAACCTCAAGCTCGTAACAATTGGTGTCAGAAGTGGGATAAAATCATGCCGATTTTACCTAAGGAGGAAACGGAGGGTGTCCGTACCCGCAGTCAACGCCAGCATGAGACGGACCAGAGGAGATTTGGTGGTGCAACGCCACAGACGTCGGAGGGCCAACTGCCAGCCACGGAGGCTGCGGGCCCGTCATTAGCTCCTACACCTGCAGCACCTGACTTAGGTGCTCTGATGGCGATGCTACAGGAGCAGCTGCAGCGCGGACGAGAGGAACAGGCCCGTCTGTTAAAAGAGCAGCAGGAGGAACAGGCTCGCCGACAGGAGGAACAGGCTCGCCGACAGGAGGAACAGGCTCGCCGACAGGAGGAACAGGCTCGCCGACAGGAGGAACAGGTCCGTCGGTTGGAAGAGCAGCTGCGGGGCGGCCAGGAAGAACAGATGCTTCTCATGAAGGACCTTCACGCTACCTTCGGGAAAGAGATAAGGGAGGTGAAGGATAAGGTTGCTCAACATGATAACCGCCTGTCGGAAGCTGAGACCCAAATCAACCAAGTTAAGAAAACGCTGGATGAACTCAAACTTGGGGATGGAACCACAGCTCCCGTAGTAGCTTCAGCACCTTCGCTACGTGGGTTCAAAGTGCCACCGTTTGACGGGACTTCTTCCTGGTCAGCCTACAAAATCCAGTTCGAGGCTGTTATGAAGGCGAACGGCTGGAATAAAAGTCAGGCCATGACTGCTCTCACACTAGGCCTGCGCGACCAGGCCTTAACAGTTCTGGAAGCTCTCGGTGAGGAAGTGACTTATGAGCAACTCCTTGAGGCATTGGAGGCGAGATATGGCGACGCTCACCTGGAACACGTCTTTCGTGCGCAGCTTAAAGATCGTGTGCAGCGCATCAACGAAAACCTGCA